CGCTCCCCCAGGCCCGCTGAGAAACCGGCGAGCTACGGACAGAGGGAAACTTTCGTGGGGTCTTAGGCTGGCGTTTACGGAGGGAAACCGCGGAACAGCAGGAGACCCGAGGTCTTCTCCTTCGCCAGTTTGTGTGCCGACACATATTCTGCGTGTCCCCTAGCGACCCGTTCAGTTTATAAACGTGTAATACTTTTCGGAGGGGACACGTTTACAGGATTAAGGAATCGCTGACTGCGAAAAGCTCCCTTTGAAAGCCCGTGTGGAGAAAAGAGCGTTTCGGGTCATAATGCCTTGTGACGGGATGTGCTTTTGAACCCATTGGGACTGATTGCTGTACCTGTAGTAATCCTCCTTGCAGTAAATACTGCCGTCCTTGGCAAAGCAGGTGAGTTCTGACTCCAAAGCCAGTTTACATTCACAGCACTTAAGACACCTGAGGTGCCATTGTTTGTCAACAGCCAGCAGGTAATATCTGTCTGAGATCTTCCCTCCACAACCAGCACACAAAGCAGGCTTCTCGGGGCTCATTGGGGGCATGTTCTGCAAAACAACCACACCACAAGGGGATGAGACAGGGAGAGAAAGACAGGCAGGCAGGCCGGGCGGGGATGGGGTCCTGCGCAGGGCCCGGGCTCGTACAGGGAGACTGCTCGCTGGGACCAAACCCTCTGCTCCCGGCGGGAACTTTGGGGGGGAACCCGGACAGTCCGCCCTAGGAAGGTATTTACCACCTCTAAACTTTCGTGTTTATCCCATTAAACCTCTCCTAACGATCTCATGTCATTTCAATACGGGAAGGCAACTGATTAGGCCTCAGTAAGAAAAGCAGAGCCCGTTCCTTCCTGAGGTCCCCAAGTTAAAGTCTGTAGCTTCTTCGTTACGTTAACATTTTAATCTTAGAGCAGTCCACAAGAACTGCATTTTAAAGCAGGAAAATACCGTTTTGCTGTACCAAAAGTTTATGGCAGAGGGTGCAGGTTTGTACCGACTTTCGGGTAAATTTCCACCCATGCTTAAAGCAGCCCAAACCCGTCTCTAAGGAAAACCAGGCCATTTAAAACAGAAGTAAGAGAAAGGAGACAGGTGGACGGTGTAAAGAGCAGTGAGCGCGAAAGCTCACCACCCGCGCCAGGGATGTGGACAGAAAGGTGGCACAGGCTGGTTTCAGCTAAAACTAGCATCTTTTCATCAGCAAACTTCTGCAAGTTCCCATTAATCTGCTCCCCATGAGGAGTGTCGCTTGGGACAAAGGGAGACGGAGGGACGGCAGAGACAAAAGATCTGCCGTGAAACTTGGGGCAACGTTTGCTGATAACAGGAAAAAAAAAAAATCCCGAACATCTTATTCTAAAATTGCAACTGTTTTAAAGTGGGAACTCCGTATTCACTTTCCAAACTGAAGTTGTGTTCCTTGCCCACTTTTTCTGCAGCAATTGAAAAGGCGAGTTGAATTTACATTGCAAATCCTCATATAACAAAGCGGGAGTTTATTTAAGAGAAGGAGGGAAGGACCTTGTGGCTCAAAGCCTTAAAGCAGTTTTCCAGGCCGTTACTTTGTGTGCAGAGCCTTGTGCACAATCGGTGGGAGCCCTGCAAGTTGGAGAAAGGGAGATCTCGCTTTGCACAAAACCCAGCGTGACACTCGGTTTCTCCGCCACTCGTTAGTACATTTAGGAAGGCTTTGGTCCTTTCGCTAAGAAAAGAGGAGATGTTACTGCTAAGCAAAGTAGTCGGCGGGCATAACATTCAGAGAGAGCCGTGCCTCTTTGTAACAGTGCCACACTTCAGACCAAAATCGGTTACAAAAAGTAAGCGGTCGCGGTTTGCGGTTTAATTTAGGAGGTGCCAGGAGTGAAAAAAAGTAAAGTACACCTCAGAAACTCCTGCTGCAGCCCAGCTCGGATGGGGCAGAGCGGCCGCAGCGAGCCGAGCAGGAGCAAGAGGCTGCTTCGCTGCAACACTGAAACCCCGTCCCTGTTATGATTTAAAATATTTCCCCATTACTCCAGAGAGAGCACACGCAGCGACATTGATTAGAAAAATGTACAGCTGAGCCTGGCCAGCACAGCACCCGGCATTGTGGGTGGGTTTACAGGGAGCCTCAGAAGGGTCTCTACAAACAAGGGGTGGCAGGGAAGGGGCAGGGGGAAGCGGCATCTTTCTGTTCCCCAAAGCCACGGTCTGTCCTGCTGCAGGTCCATGCTTGCAGGGATTCCCTTTCAAAGAACGCCAGCTCCTTTCTTACCGTTTCTCGGCCGTTCAGCTGTCCCCCTTTGGCCAGGCGGGACTCGGTCTTGGATCGCCTCTCCATCTCCTCCATGATTCCTTGGATATGGCCTCCGGAGATCCCGTGGAAAAGCATGGCTGGGGGACGGAAATGACAAGTATTTTCTTCTGCTCTGC